TCCCCCAATTCCATGTGAATTAAGGGCCTTATATTCCTTTCTGATTAGCTGCTCTCAATTTGCAGAGATGAGTTCTGCTTCCACCTGCAAGAGAGTAAGTCAGCATATCTGATCAGACCCAGTGGTGCTAAATGCTCCTCTGCACGAAACTCTGTACTCCCAGCAGGAAACAGTGCCACTTTATAGGAAAACAACTTCTGACAGAAGGATGCCCCTATCTAATGGCTGTTGCATGACTACAAACTGAATTCCCCCATCCCCACCTCACTGTAGTGACTAAGCAATCTACAGCATGAGTCAGGGAATCCAATGAAAAAAATCCCAGCGACAGTACTTAATGAGAGCAGAGAAACAAGTTACCTCCAAACCTTCCTGGCGTGAATTCAGACACTACCTTCCTCCAGTGTAATCTCTTACGGTATGTGAGCTAAAAACTGAAGCCCTCAATTAACCCAAAACAGTACCATGAGCTTGCAAACACCGGATGGCTCATTTGCCACTCAGGGGCAAACATTTTCTAGGGTGAAACAATGCCTGCCTGTTTCATGTGCAGTACCTAGTTTTATGGGTTTTGATATTCCCATTGCCTTATGCTTATGTAAGTAATCACTCACAAAAAGGCAACACAAAACAAGGCGCAATTGAGTGGTCTACTGAGGTATTGCTGACTTGAAGAATGCTGACTGATCCCTCCTGGAAAAGGCCTGAACAAAAGCTAAACTACCATTTCATTTGGAGCTGGCTTGGGAGAATCGCATGGTCCCTGCAGGCTTGGCAGAACAAATTCCACCACTCAGCTGTGCCTACTGTGACATCCACGTGTGACTGGGAAGGCTGGGAGAAGCACTGACCTGCTGGAGAGAAACCAGCTGCAGCATCAGAACACAGGCAATGGCAGACAAGGAGGCAGGCCAGGCTAGGAGGGAGCAAAGGGAGAAGAGGATGAACATTTGGGATGTCACTATACAAAAAGACATTCCTTTCCCTCACCAAATCTGGCTGTTCATACAGACATGGTCTTCTAGAAAGATTTATGGTGGTTACCAGTACTCCTTACAAGGACTCTCCCGAGGCTAACTATTCCAACATATCACTTACATTTCCATACTTTGCTAAATCTCTAGAAGTTGCTTTCTAAACGTTTTGCATCTTTGCTGAAGTCCCAGAACCAGCTCTAGAACTAAAACTCAGTGCAATCCCATTCTTCAGAGCAGTCCTGCAGGGAAGAACCTATATGCACATTTCCTTCCTACAAATAAAAAATGTGATATGTGCATTAGATATATAAAAATACACATATATACACAAACCCACATACATTTCACACATCAGATACACCAACAGAGCAAAAAAAAAAAAAAAGGTTTTCACTTCAGACCCTGCCCCCTGAAAACTTCCATGCTACCAAGCAATACTGGAAGTCACTCTCATACACAATAGAAGCAATACAAACTTGCTAACAGTTTAGAAATGCTCCTTACATCCCATAGCATTCCCACAGCCAAAAAAGACAGTTACCTTACGTAATCCAGAACAACAGATATTTATGTGCAAATCCTCTCCTCTTCTCCCTTACAGTGAGCCCAGTAACTGTGTATCAAGGGGCTGTGAAGATTTGAAACAGCTGTGGAAAAAGCACAGCTGCAACATATTTGTCTAGAGGGTTCAGACAGACAGGCTGGATCTGCTGCAACACCTGAGTATTAAGGAAAGGGCCGCAGACAGCTCATGTGGCCGTGGAAGAAAGGGGAAGCAGGGACAAGATGATTCACAGGCCCACAGGGCAGTTCTAGAAGGAAGAGAAAACTGTGAAACAGTCATTGCAGGGAGCAGCTGCAAGCTGTTTTCTCACAAGATTTACAGATAAATTACTACTTTTAGCCCTCCTTGTTGTGAGTGCTGGTGTACGCAAAATGGCAGCTCCTGCCCCCAGATTCCTGTTTATGTCAGGAGATGCCAATGTTTCCATCACTTACATACAGTCTGTTCTCTCCCCTCCTCAATGTACATGGCATACAGACATTCCCAGCATTACACACACACGCTGCACAAACCCCTAGAACATCAAGGTCAGAATTCAGCGCAGCTCTTTAGCAATGTACAAGAGACAGATTTTCTGAATAAGGGCAAATCTCCCTACTGAAATCCTCTTCAAGTTTCATGTACCAACTCTAGCCAGGATTTCTCCTACTTTGATTGGCTTGACAAGATACATTAAGCTACAAATGACAGTTCGAGAAACTTACTTAAAGAAGAATACCTCGTTCTCTTTCAAAGTCTGCATGATGTTTTTCCAAACACAAAAACTTCCTTTTTCTTGTTAATCTCCACAATAATTTTGCTCACCAACAAAAACTCTGGCTGTCTTTTCCACATGACAGCAGAACCGAGCACCTTGCAATGAATAATACACACTCTGCTAGAAAACAGATGACAGAGCAGTCACTCCCCAGGAATAAGTGATGTGGCTAAGTCTCTGAACACAGCCTTAGCATTCAAAAATATTTTGTACAGATGGGACAATAACACCACTTCAACTGTTGCCAAGCAACTGAGTTTGATGGAAGGAACCATTTTAACAGCTGCCCTTTTAAACAGACAAGCGGTCAATTCAGAAGATTAGTTTTAGTTCAGAAGGGAAGGAAGGAGTGAGAAATAAAAGCTGCATTATTTGACTATGAGACTAAGGGTTTATCATTCTTTGGTTTCATCCCTCTGAAGCAAAAAATAAACCTCCTTAGATTAGTCTCAAGAATCTATTTATATGCTTTCAGGGCAATCTCAGCCCTTTCATTGCAGGAGCAGTTCATCCTGCTACTGCAGTGAAGGAATGCACATGCAGTTCAGGCATATTTGCTGTCTTTGCATTCTGTTGCAGAATGGGCAAAATAGCAAATATTGAGCTTTATGACTGCAACTGTCCCCATATAGAATGTTTTACAGATTCACTGTAACAAAGACGCTATAAAAAACAACAATAACAAAACCCAGCCTGCCACACACACACAAACCCCAGAACTTTATTCTCTAGACCAGAGAACTCATGTTTTTGGTTAAGGCTTTAATAACAGTCTCAAAGGATTCCAAGGGAGTTAAATTCCATTTAAATGCATTGAAGTCAGGCTTCTTTAAGCTGCCCCCTCCAGCCTAAACATTCATTAAACCAAATCAGTCAATATCTACATGTTATAAAGAGGACTCTTGTTATAAAACAGAAGTTTGGCAGCATGCATCACCAAGCCTCAGCAAAAATACTCTACCACCAACTAGCGTGATACTTTTGATCCAGTTTTTAGCTCTGCTCTCTCCCTCGTGAGCTGTTTTTGGCCTGGTGTGGGATGGATTTATGCAGCCAGTTATGCCAGGAATAGCAAACTCCCTTTTTTAAATTAAAATCAAAGACACAAAAAAAGACCTAATCCATATTAAATCTCACAGGTTGGTCAACTGATGACAGAAGGTCTGGATTTAGAAGGTGATCTGGCCCATGCACACTCCCAGGCAACTATGACAAGACTATCTATGGTTATTTTCTGGTTAGCTCAGGCCTCCGCCACTAACACTGGTACGCAGCATAAGGCACAAGATGATTTTAGGGATGAAGCATTTCATCCTTACTTGGGTACCAAAGCACAACCACACTTGTTGGAAGGAGGCCAAGCTCTCCATCCAGCAATGGCAACCCAACAATAACGTGGGGCAACCCCTAGTTTCCTCTTCCCATGGGGATGGTGTTTCTCTACTGCAGGGCAAGAAGGAGGGAAGGAAGCGTTCCATCTGGCACTAATCGCCCATGGGTACAACAGACAGTAGCAGTGAAAGTGCCATAGGCAACTGGATGGCTATTTAAGAGGTGGCTATGTATTAACAGGCACCAATACTGAGCAGGGAAAGCAGGAATCAGACAAAATGCCTTTCTCTTACTGCTCCTGAACAGAGAGACTGTGAGGAACTGAGAGACCAGGGATACTCAGAGTGCACAGATCTCATCTGTTTTTACAGCTCCCTTACACTACTGCTGGCAAAATATTTCACTCTAAGACAAGGGAAAAGAAACAGTGGGCTATATGCAAACTGCAGTGAGGATGATCAGCAGCTTGGAGCATGGCACTTACTGTTACAGACAGCTCAGTACATACTCAAATTTAATGGAGGTTTGTTCTGGAAAACTACAAAGGAAGGGTTTTCTCCTACTCAGGAGCCAGGAAAACATGATTTGGAGGCAGAAAACAGCAAGGTTCGCTTTCAAACTGGAACACAACAGCCATATGCCTGTGAAAGGAGCTATCAGCGAAGTAGGAACTATGCTCAGATGGTAAACACCTATGATCTTTCTGGAAAAAGAGTTTAGTTTCCGCTAAGAGAGTGCATATATCCAGCCCCTTCATTTCAATACTTACAAAATCCGGTCCTGAAAGAACCTGACACTGAACAATTATTTGTTTATGTGATGACTGAGGAATATTAGACTTTTTTTCACGAGCATCCCCAGGGACAGCAGCAGGAGCTGCCAGTGTAAACTGAATGGGTCTGAATATTAGAGTTACCCAGGTGTTGCATATGTTTCTTTCTCCTGCATGCAGTCTTTAGGAAAAGCTAGGATAGGAGCAGGAAAAAAAAAACCATCTCCTGTTCCCTGGCAGAGCTGGTCTTTAGCAGCTAAAATGAGTGGGAATGCTGGCAGCACTTTATAGGAATTGCTCTGTCCCAGATCCCACACACCTGGCTATCACATCTTGCCTTACTGCACAAAGAACTGTATCAGCTTCCCTGCCCTCAGTCCTGCTCATCTTGCTCCCCAGGGACATGGGTGAGGAAAGGGAAAGGAATATCCTTCCAAGCTGTCACTAGGCAGACCCTTGCTGGCCACAGACAGCTGAGGAGGCACTGCACAGCAAACAGGAAGTCAGTGTTGAAAGCAATTCTGGAAAGCAACTTTTCAGACAAAGCAAGCACTGGCTGTTCAAAGCAGCTCCTCAGCTGACTATCTAGGCTCTCACCTGTATTCATAGTGGTGGGACAGGAAACCAGAAGAGGGTCGGATGTCTACTTGGAGGATGGTTCTGACTGGAGACCGAAAAGGTGTTTCAGAGTTGAGTGAGCGGAAGGTGCTGAAGTCATGGGTCCCCAGCAGGAACCATGCTGCATCTTGCATGGCAGGCACATTCAGGTAGCTGAAATTAAACATGCAGAGCAGAAGGAAAGGAGCATTAGGTGGAACCAAGCATGTCATATGGGTCCAAGTCCAATCAGTTGATGAGATGCTTAAACCCAGCATACAGATTTGACATGGCTGCACTGTGGGAAGCCTCCATATTTTGCAAGATGGGAGTTTCTCTTATAATGGCACAAACCAAGATGCCAGATGACCTGACGTCTGAAGGTGCTCAAAACTCCAGGCTAGATGAGAATGTTCTCTCTCTAAGCTGGCAGGCAAAGACTTTTACACAACCCTTTATCCTGCTGCGCTGCTTATCACTGTTGAATTCAAGTGATCTATTCAAATTGCTGGCTTGAGCAGAGGGGAAGAACATCCAAAAACCTCTGCAGTATCTGGATCTTATAAAATGAAAAAGGTATTTCCAGGTAAGAAGATATCAAATACCACGATGGGCTTCCAAACTTTAGATTTGTAATACCCAGAAGATTAAATTTGGTAGTAATAGAAATGGAACTAGCGAGCAAACTGTCAGAGCTGAACCCAGTACAAACACACAAGGTGAAGGGGCAGAAGAAAGAGCCAAGGGAAAAACTCAGAATGCCAATTGCCATTCAGACTTGTTCATTTGAAGTATTTAGATCTGTTCAATCAAACAGTTTTAGACAGATTTACAGATTTATTTGCTGAAAAGATGTCTATTCTTATTCTAGTTTTGTAAATTTCTCCTAAGAAAGCTTAAGCAGGTATGGATGATCTATGGCTGAAGTTTTCCAGATCTTAACAGAAGTCAAAAATCTTTCTGAAGAAAATAAAAAAAATATATATAAAAAAAAAAAATCAGGATGAGTTGTTCCAACACCATTAAAATTATTCGCCATGTTCAAGAAAAATGACTAGCACTTACAGAGTCCTGGTCACACAGAGAAGCGCTGATGACACCCTGCTGGTAACTCAGACACCCACAGAAGTTTGCTTAGCATGTATTATGTGTTTTATACACAAGATCTGCTCAGTACTGCAAACATTAGGAGCTTCTTCACTGCTAGCAGTCAGAATATCACACCTGTTAATAAGATAACCTCACACAGAATTTCTCACATGCTGACCCTACCCATGATGTGGTGTTGCCATTTGCAAAAATAACTGTGCTATCTGAGCAAAATTAAATGCAAGAAAGCCTGAGATTAAGGTGCATCACGTATATAACATCTAATTTTGCCATTTCAGATTTATTTTTCCCTGCCACAGCCTACAGAAGAGAGTCAGATGTTTATATTAGGACAATGCCATCTTCATGCCTCTACGAGGACAGGTAAGATTGTTTTGCTGGTAATGAAAAAAATGTAAAGTTATTCCACTAGTGGTGACCGAAATATTGTAACTGGCTACAAAACGATTTTTCTATAATGTTGTGAAAAAAATTCCATTATCTTGAATGTATATTTATTTCAGTACATCCTGATTTAAAGGACAATAATAAACCATCTTTTGGAGTTTGTTTATTTTTTTCCTCACCCACTGTTTATCATGTTTTTAAATGATATTTTGTTTCCTCATCGAGTTTGTTTTTCTTCCCTTGCTCGTGTAAGCACCGATTTGTTCTCAGTGGCTACTTCAAGAACCCACGTGAGCACTGGGCTAGATACACTGGCTTCTTATTGTAGGATTGCTTAGAGCTATTGGATCTCACTTATTATTCAAACATAAAAGCACTCAAATAGGGAACGACAGAGCAGATTTACATGCAGTCATCACCAAAAACAGGACTAGGAAAAAAAGAAGAAAAAAAAAAAAAAAACATACCTCAGCCTTTATTCTTGACTGCCTTCTGTGCAGGGTTACACCTAAAACTCTGAGATCTCCCAAGCAATGCATTTCTGCCTGAATGCATTGCATCAGAGCATTGTGCCTTCAACCAGCTGCCAGAATGTGTTCGCTGTATGAACTGGCAAGGGAATCCAAGGTAATGCTCATCACTTTCTAAGGGGTGGACACAAAGTTGTTCAGAGGCTCTACCCAGTGTCTCCGAGTACTTCAGCAGTGCCAAGCATGCTAATCACAGGTACTACTGACAGTACAATTAAAAAGATCTGTCTCAGGTCTCAGTGAGCGTAACTCAGTGCAATTGCACTGATTTCAACACAGCAATCTGGTCAATATGAATCGGAAATCGTCTCATATGTGGAAATTACTCTCTCCCCTTTAATCCAAGCCTTTCCAGAGCATTAATGAGGTAGTTCCCCAGCGAGGCTTAAAGGAATACACTTACCCTCCCCCTGGAGCCCAGCAGAGATCTCTTTCGAACACTGGTATTTCAGAATGATGAGTGCAACCCATCAATAGCCGATAAACGTAGGTCCTTGACAGCGCAGAGAAGCGTGCATGGAAACTATTGGCCACTCGATAGGCACTCAAAACGCTGTTAGGAGAGAAGAGAATGAGCGAGATGGAGAGAAACATCAGGCACTAACTCAAAGCTTTTGCCTGATTACTACGTACATTGGAATTAAAACATGCAACAGAATTCTTTGAGAAACTGCACTTACACTTCATTATCTTCTCCTGACAGTGATTAACCAGTGATCAAGGATTACATGTATGGGCTGCCAGAGGTACCTATCAAGTGGAAGAAGGAAGAGGAGGCCTTGGCTTCTTCTCTACTAGCAAGTACACAGTGAAACTGACTTTGCTTCACCTATCACCAAGTTTTGGGCAATGCTCACACCGTCACAAGATGCTGAAAATGATCTATCCCTCAGCTGAGAAATGGTAACCCAGAGTATTTGTTCTTTGTTGCACAGTGAAACAAAACACCTTACCTAGCTCACTGAATTGTACTGCACCTGGCTGACTGCACATATGTTCCTAGTCACATCTCCAGTGAGAGGCAGCAGCTTCCCAAAACAAGCTGACTCCTTCCCTATCCATCTGGGGAATATATCTTATGAGCACATTAGTGCCCTTCTAACATACTTTCACAGTTGCTGAAATAAAGGCTGGCACATTGGAGGAGTCATCCTTCCCAGAGACACTACTGCTGCTCTAAACCCACATGATTACTAGCAATCTCACTGCCCGTAAATCTGGGCATCCTGGCCCAAATTCCCAGCTAAGTAAGGAACTTTGGCTGCCCTCAGTTCTCCCTTCAACTTCATCGAAACGTTGCATTCATTTTGAGTTCCTGTTCTCAGACATGGCACAGCTAAGCACCATTAAACAGACTGCATTATTCCCACACACAATTAGGTGCTGAAGGCACCCATGCGTTACCTTTTTTTAACATTCATGTGTTACCTACAAATACAAATCACTTGAGGGAAAATTTTGCAAAAACAAACAAACAGGATTTTTTTCAAGATCTCCTGAGATCCTCAGGGATGAAACCTTTCTCACAAATACAGAATATTATGTTACACTACACTATGACTAGCATCCACCACAGCAGGGTCATGAGCTCTTAAGTGGCTGTTGCAAATGTCAAGGGAGTGTTGTGTTTTTCACAAGAATTTATGATATTCTCATCAATTTCTCTGGTATCCCCAGTATGCTAGGAGAACAAAGAAAATAGCAACTAACCCTCTCGTTACAAGAGTAGCTACAGAAATAATTCTCTCTGGATTTTTAATCCTCTACCTTCCTTACTAGGCCAATCAGAACAAAAGGAAGGGGCTGGTCTCCTCTTAGCCCTGTAAGGAAACATCCTACTGCCTACAGCTCTTACCCAAACGTGCTCACATTCAAAGTAATGTTTTTTTTTTTTTTTTCCCCCAAAGACTTGACCACTTTAATGCAGAGCCATAAAGGAAATTTCTACACAGTTTGTCAGGCAAACAAATGCTTTTTTGGCCTCTGCTCTGGGCTGGCAAATTAGAAGCTAGTTAGTGAAGTACCATGTCCAAGTTGAAAAGTAAGCTCTTTTACACGTATTCACTTGGCTCAGAACCGCCCTAACACAGCTGTGAAATAATCACCCAAAGGACAGAGAGTGAGTTAACGTCTGCCTTCAAAAGACCGTGGGCCATACCCAAAGCCCTCTGAGTCCAGCCCTCTAGCTCCCAGGAGACCATCAGCCTGGCTGGAAGAGAAGTCATGTAGATGATAAAACCAGATGTCCCAAACACAGCTACCACTAAGAGAGGCTTTTAATGCACTGTTTCTATGGTAATGCTTTCAGGTTTTGTCACCTTGTATATTAGGCAAACTTATCACTCCCTACAGCAAGGTCTCAATGTTACTTTCAATGTTAGTTGAATTTCTTTCCTCTTTGCTCTCCCCAGCCCTTTATGAATCCATCCCTTACTTTCTGCTAACTGCCTCACTCTGAACTTCCTACCTCTTTCTGGCCTATGTTTGCTAGAGAATGACATTACTGTACCCGAGAACTTCTACCAGCATTGTCACACAGAAGAGGTATTTTAACGGAAGTACACCCTTAACATTTCAGCATTTGTTCGTATCTCTCTGGCTCCCAGACTCCAGTCCTCTCTCCTCCAAATCCTTTTCAGAGACGATGCTCTTCTATTGTTAGGGAGCATGATGGGGAGACGGAGGAGAAAACTGTTCCCCGCTGCCTCAGGGAAGCATGGCTCCAATTTGTCCCAAGAAAACTGTGGAGGGCTGAGACCAGCTGAAGAGCGTTCTGTCCAAGATGCTTCGGCATCCTTCTAGGAGTCAAAAAAAAGCAGCGCGTTCTCAGGCGTTATTCAATCACTGGTTTCACCAGAGACACTAAGTAGAAGTTTTAACCAAGTGACTAAGTGACCTAAAAGAGCCTTCCCCCTGCTTTGCTTGGCAAACTCATCATAAAAGCAAGTCAACGGACGTTAGACTGTAACCATTTTACTGGCAATTGATCTAGCTCTATTAGATCCCCAGGTAAGAGGAAGCACAAAACCCAATAGACTTAGCACGCCTGAAAGGGAGACTGTATATCCTAGGTCTTCTTTCCCAAGCTCTTGAACCACTTTCTTGGATCCAGTGACTATCTGAAAACACTTAAAAAAAAAAAAAAAAAATCAGGAACCCTAAGGTTTATGCCCGCTTCAAGCTGGGGTGCCATCACTCTATGGTCACTAGCACCTAGATACACAGGACTTGAAAAGAGCTAAAATCCACAACACAAACATTACTCAGTTGTCCCCTTATGAGAACAAGCTCAAGGCTCTTGCAGAACTGTGGCCCCAAGCACAAACAGGAAGGACCCTCCCACTGACAGATATCTGGATACCCAAAGCAGCGCACACTGTGCTCAGTCTTCTAGTAGCTCGTTGCAGCAGACAGAAACTAGGTCACTTCCCCCTCACTTCTCCCCGCAACCTCCAAGACAAATAGCACTTTACTGCAGCAATAGAAACGCAGGAATATCCCACCACAGCCTACACTGAATCTGTCTGAAACCAGCAGAATGCTGCATGCAGGAGACCTCCTGGGAACCCTCACATTTCATGTATGCAGAAGATGGCTTTTGGGAATGTTTATGCCTATTCATCTTCCATTAACTCGGAGCAGTTAACTCAAGAAGCAGTGTTCCAGGCTGATGAACTCCCGTTTTCTTCCACGGGCAATGGAGAGTAATTGCCCTGTTCTTCTAAGCCAATGTCACCATTACCATTAAACAGGGAGAGCCGGCAGCCAGAAGGAGGGTACAAAGGTTTTCCTTGGGGTGGGCTGACGACAGCCAGAAGACATGATCAAAGGAGAAAAGTGACATGGCCCTTATGTTGCTCCCCAAAAGCCTTTCTGAGAGTTGTCAAAGGAGCTGTAAATATCCACGGAAAAAGATCATTAAAAAAACAAGAGCAACAAAATACACTGCAGGCCCCTAGTAATTAGGTCTCCACAGTGCTTTCCTCACCTCTCTTTTCAGAGCTCAGACTCCAAGGATTCTACTAACTCTTCCCCTTCATTCTCTGATGGCTCCCTTGGTGCTTGTTCAGAGGTGAAAGAATGCAGCTGGCTCTGAGACAGGTGCTGCAGATTCTGCTTCAATCACTGACTGAGTTGAGAGCCTCTAGACAAAAGGTCCCACTGCATTTAAATTCAAAGCATCATTGTCATAAAACTCAAGAAACCCTGCAGGAAATCAGTGCAAAACCCAATCCTAAGACCATGAGAGCTGCAGGCACCGAGTACTTCCAGAGAACAGGCATACAGAGGGTACCTAGGTGGGATCCAAGCCCCAATGTACCTTGTTAACACAGAAAATGTCGAGTCATCACTGCTGAACTAACCAGAAGCCTGGACAGATATAGCCATGATGGAAGTCTGTCTCTGTCTCGCACACACTCATGAATATTAGCATAGGTGGAAGTTTGTTGCCTGGTGTTACTGTGCCCTCCAGATACGACACAGCAAAACTCTGGAGGCAGAGGGTAGACTCTAATCCTTCCACCTAAAACTGCCCCTAGCACCATCACAGCACATGGTTGAGGGAATGGCCACTGGACCAGAAACTGACTCTTTCAGTCCATCTCTGATGGACACTGACTCAGTGTATGGCCTGGAGCAAACTGCAGCAGCAACACAGTGCAACACAGCACTTACATTACCGCAGGTGAGCTAGTGCCAGAACAACAAACTAGTTAGCCTGGTTCTCGCACAATGTTAATGCAGATACTGTGCTTCTGCAACCTGAACTAGAACCTGCCTAGCACTGCAGGTGTCATAGGCATGTCTGGAGCATGCTAGAATGTCTCACTCCCCAGTTACTTTTGTGGATTAGCTGCTTACCTCTACTGCCAGCCAGGGGCAGGCAATCTACTTCAGTGCTTCTAAAAAACAGAGGCAGACACCTTCCGTCACTGAAACCCTTGGAGAATCCAACCCTGGGGGCCTAGTTCACAGAGATGCTGAACACCCACCACTGCAGTCAAGGCTAGAGAAGCCTCTGCTACCTGGGATTGCTTTCCTCAGGCTCCGTCTTTTGCTTTTCCCTTTTCAAAGCTGAAGAACAGAAGCAACTTCTTGGGAAGGGGAAGAATCGTTGAGGGGCTTGCATGCTTTCAATATGCTTTGGGAAAAATCAAAGCAGCTGATTAAATCCCAGACCAACACCTGCAGGGCATGCTGCAGCTTCTCCCTACTCCTGTCTCACTCTTCACTTTATACAGCATGCGAGACATGCATGGAAGACCTCCTGGGAGAAAAGAAACATGATCATCAATCTCTCCCTCCTTCAGCCCCCAATCCACCTGAGTGCCTGCACATGTCACATTCAGTGAGCTGGGTTCACTGATCCCCAGGTCCTAGAGAACTGGAATCCTGCCTTGCAAAACCATGGACGGATTCAAGTATGATGTCAGCCCTCAAGTCCCAGGCTTTGCTGCGTTGGCATTTGGGTCAGGTCCTGTCTCACAAAGAGGAGATTAGAACATAAAGCAAACTAGGTGAAACGGTAACAGGGAGGGTGCTTCACATAATGTTGCTATTGTTAATAACGATCCCTTCACTGGGGTTGAGAGAGATTTGTTTTTTGTCCTGGTCCCTCACTCTGGAGTGGGGTACTTGCCTCCACAATCTTCCTTTTTGTTTATGCCACCGGACATCAGAAAGAACGCAGTAACATGAAATAGAGCAAGAACCTGGCCCTCTGAGCCATTACTAATCAGCATCTTGCATCAAAGGTCTATCACTCACCCAAATATTTCCCCTAAGTTACCTGCCTCTGAAGTGCTTTGACACACTCTTCATTACGGCACTACATCGTCAGGTCTTACTGTACCAAATGCTCCATAAACAAAGACAGTCTGTGCCTTGAAGGATTTGCAGTCTATGCAAGTAAGACGAAATAAGAGAAGAAAGAGCAGAGAGGAGCAAAATAGCTGCTGGAAATGGCATGTTGATTCTATGACATTAGCACAGATTTGTCTTTTAGTCTAAAAACTTTCATGTTTCATTCAATTTACATTCTAAACATGAAAAACGCACCTACTTCTGAGGCAGAACACAGCAGCTGTTTGACAGCTGACAGAGAAACTGCACAACCGTTTGGAAAGTAAAGCACTGAACACTTAAGTTCAATCCACCCTTTGGAAAGAGAAAATTCACAGGACATAGAAATTGCTTATGTAATTGATGCAACTTTGTGACAAAAGCTGTTGGCTTAATGATAATTTTTTCCAGCAGTAATTGCTTTGAGGGTGGGCATTTAGACCTCGGTTTCACACAGGATAAGCCAATTCTGGGATTCTGTCAGAAAAAGAAATAACTCTAATAGAAAGAACGAAGAAAAGAAAATAGGAAGAGTGGCAGCTGTTCTGTTCTCTGTAGGCTGTTAGACCAAGCTCCTCAGTACACTCACGTGCAGCTCCCTCTAGTTATTAACAGCTGGTTATGAGAAGGACTGTTTATCTACCCCACTAAGCAAAACATCCAATTTTGTTACAAAAATATTAAACTGGGGATTTTGGTTTAACTTCTCCAAACCAGGTCAAGTGGTAGGCTTGGTCCAGCAGAGAAGGAAAGAGGCTGATCTCACAGGAAGGGAGGAGTGGACTGTTCTAACACTAAGTGTGATCTCATGTGTTTGTTCTTCATCTTTTTGCCTAGATACAGGAGAGAGGCAACACTGCAGCCAAGCTTTTGTTAGTTCAATAAGCAAAGAAAATTTGAGCGGTTTTGGAATAAAGCAGCACTGAAAGTTAACATGCTGATGTTCTGGCTCATGTGTGACATTAGCATCACCCAGTGGAACCAATATTTAAATGGTGACCGTTCTCTCACAATAATTCTTGTTTCAGTGGTACCAGCACAGATGATCCCCTAACGACAGTAACGGTAGAACACCGCTCTTTAGCATGCAAGGGGGCCTGGTAGGAGCAGAAAGACTCTTGTGTACGGAGGTGGTTTACCAACACATTTATCAGGGGAAAACCTATCTTGTGGATGAAGATGGGAGATCACTGCTGCAGTTCCCCCCACTCCAATAAGAACAAATCAAAAGTTTTTGACTTGCCATCCAACTCACCGGATTGGCTCAGACTTCAGGTGGTAATTGAGACTGCAGACGAGCTCTCTCTCATGAAAAGGTGGCTTCCCTGTTGCCCTCTGGATGTCAAGGTGAGCAGAGTTGCAGAGCGCATGGACACCAGTGTCTGTTCGGCTGGAGATGTGGAACTTGATGGGAACGACGGGTTTTAGGTTCTGTGCTGCCTTCTGCAAGCCAACATGAGAAAGGATCGTGAACAGGGGCCTCACCAGGAGCTACCTAGGACTCAATGCCCTCCTCCTTGCCAGTCACATGCCCCCTTAATGTCCACATGGAGAAGTAATTGCGAGTTTTACTATGGGCTGCAGAAGGATGGAGAGGAGCCTGTTTGGGGGATTTCTCCTAGTCCCACTGGCTACTCACTCTTTGTCCCAGAATCATCTTAAAGAGAACAACCAAAATGCTATGGGAGCTTCCTTACATATGTAAAACAAAGTAACATATATTTATCTCCCTGTCCTTTGCTTTATATCTTTGGGTAGGTGGGCTAGAGGACAGAGAATTCCCCACTTAAACCCAGACACATCCCCTGCTGAAAAATGAATTCAGACTGCTTGTGCAGCAAGCAAAAACAGCCTAGTACACGCTCCTAAAAAGCTGCAGAACCCAAGCAGTAAAGGGACAGAAGTAGCACACAGGGATGTCTGAATGACATCACAGCCAAGAGGCCTGAAGACGGTCAGGCTGCATCCTTTGTTCCCAGTGCAGGCCAGAACTGTATAAAATACTGCAGCTTACTGCTGCAGGCAGTTCTTCCCCATCCATAACGGGAGCAGGGTTACAGAGGGCAGCGTGCTTCCATTAACTGTTAAGAGCAGAGGAGGAGCCAGGGGACCGACCAGAGGCGCAGTAGCATAGCACTGATGTAATGCATTTCATGAGTCCCATGGAGAAATATAAGAGATCTGAGAATCAAGGCACAGCTCTCATAAAAGACACGAGTAGTTGAGCTGACACTGAGCCGTTCCAGGAGGTATAAACAACCACAGGACAAATACACGCCACCAGCAATCACAAGGTGGAATTTCCTTATATTCGCTGCTTCCACAGTTGCATTAATACCGAATTTGGCTAAGCCTCTTGAAAGCACTGTATCCCAAGAACTTGCTAATGCAATGTTAAAATCACAGTTGGTCTTTCATACAGTAAGGCTTTAAAGTAGGTTGCTGGAGCACTGCAAAATGCAGCTTTTACCTTTGTGAAGGCAGGCCCTTAGACTGAAAATGCAATGTCATTTGTTAGGGTGTATGAGTGAAGCATATCTGAAACACTGAAAAAAACAAAACGAACCCCAGAAAGCTAGATGAATGACTAGAAATTTCCTTCTCTCTCCCATCTTCTGAGTCGTGAACCCAGCAGTGGTCTTTATTAGACTTCAATTTGGTACCAAAAGTCAATAAAGTTTGAATGGCTGACTTGCAAACGCCTTCCAGACTCCCACGATTTAAGCAGACAGAATTCTGAGCTCTCAGAAACATTCTGTTAAAAAGCGCAGGGAGGCAAGGAAAAATGTAACCAAGCTGCAGGGAAAAGCCTGGGAAACAGAACACAAATGATCCTAGCCTTTTCCTCTTCCTAATCCTTCTATTTGGAGTTCACATGTGGTTACAATTAACAATGAAAATCTTTATTTATTACCCTTAGCAGAGAGAAGCAGATAGAAATTAAACAGTTCTCTGCAGCAGACCTTGGCTTGTGCCTCAGTAATTTGTTTTAAAGCAGGGGCTGCATTTTAAGAGTAAAGTTTCTGCAAAGATGTATTTGGGTTTTGCAGGCTCCTCTCTTCCCCCACACCTTCTTCCTCCTCCTCTGTCACCAGGCACAGAGCAGCCAGTGGGAACACAGCTGAGTGGGGGTAGAGGGAGAGAGAACAGGACAGTACATGGAAAACACCCTCCTTTCTTGTTATGGGCTTGGAGAAGTTTGGAGGCAGTGCTCCCTTGGATTCCCACACTACATCCCATTTCAAGCACTGCATCTGAACTAAGCTGGATAGTCAGAACATTGAAAAGTTTGGATCTTTTCCCCTCTGCAAGGGAGGAGGTAAGCCTTTTCAGAGAGCAGGCTGGAAAGGAAGAGAGGACTATAGGCTCCAAGGCGAATCTGGTTGTATCCCACGCTTAGGTCAACCAACAAATCCACAAAGGTGCAGGACTTAATGACAGCTACAGCTAAATGGTATTTTCACAGCTGCCCTTCTCCAGCACGACTCTCCCAGGCACAACTCTTTGGAGAGACAACTGAAGGATATACGTGCTGGGCATTCAAGGAGGAATGCAACCACCAACACTACCACCGAGTCTCAGCTTGTGAAAACTATTTTTCCTCCAGCCTAACAGCCATGCAGTGGATAACAGACTCCACAATCAACTGCTGCCTCCAGTTTCAGTTTTAAATATTTCATTTAATACTTCAATTTAAAGCCCATTTTAATTAATCTCCTTACAGAGAGGATTTTGAACTGCTGAACTTGTTTACAGGTGACACACAAATGACCCCCTCATCTGTGTACCAAATGTCTCATCTCTGTACCATCCAGATGTCCTCTGAGCCTATAGGTAGCTGGTAGTTTTCCTCATCTTGTTCCTGTATACTCTAATCCATTAACATCACCCACAACAAATTATGAAAAAGATGCATCATGTATTTTTCAGTAATTGCTTGCACTACAACCATTTTTTCCCTCTCTTTTCAGGAAAAAGCCTGATAAAACAATCATACCTTGCTTTTGCACAATGCCTTTCAAGTGAGGAACTCAAAAGGCTTTACTGCTATCGATTCAGATCCCCACGCAACCTTGCTTGGTATCATCTATAGATTCCAATGAGGAAAAGTGAGGCAGAAGTTAAGCAATTCACCTCTGGGCACTCAACTAAAAAGCAGGAGAGGAAGTACAGAAATCAAGGAGCTGAGTTCTCTTCTCATGTGTTCTCAGAGTTCACAGGTATCAGCTCCCTTCTTTAAGCCACACAGCATACAAACGTTCTTCTCTTTAGCAGGTGTTCAGTTACAAACACTGAAATCTTGCCTTGGCACCCGCTGGAGGTGCTTCACTGAGTCAGATCTCATCCATTTTAATTTTGCCTTCACTTCCTGAGTCACAGCCTTTCCAGATCACTGTATTTTTGGGGCAGCAACATGCATCCCAGAGTGCCACTTTATACTTCTAATCCCCTGCACACCAGCGATGCAGGTGAAAGCATCACTTGCATTTAGTAGGTCTGTTCTGCTAACAGGTTTTATTCACTAAGCACTTCCATATTTTGAATCACACTGAAATTTCCATTGTTGCATGCCAAAATAATAGGGATCCACGTTCCAGATTGTTATTATTACTCACAGCTCTGTTCTCTTCTCACTCTGCACAACCGTTGGAGAGAGAGAATGAAGAACAGGCCCATTAATGTATACTGGCCATGGCTGGGAAGCAAAAGTTCATTCACTTCTCTCCCTGAAGGCTAAATCAAAACTGCTCAAGATGCTCAGCCATGGAAGACCTTTCCAGAGCATCTGTGAAACCACAAAAGGAGCCTTTCAAATCACCTGTGGATGGGTGCGTTCAAGAGAAAAATCGCATTAGGAACATTTCAGAAAAATTAGTGTCTATTGTTGCCCTTTCACAGTAGCTGGAACGCTTACTGATTTTGTCAGTGGAAGACATCCACGCTCATAGTTGCGCAGATACAAGGGATTGCACTGCACCGCTAGGCATATTGCATGATTTACAAGTTGCTGTGCTCCAATACATCAGCAGCAGCAAGCTCCTGGTTGCAAGTCAGCACAGCCCCACTGTACATAGATTAATGGGTGCTATATCGACTGAAACTAAGTAAGAATCACTCAGTTTTAGTGAAACAGATAAAAGCTGTAGTGAAAGTCAGGAAGAAAAAGCTATGAAAGAGGCTTTTGTTGGAAGAAATGGTCTCTGAAGCAATCTGCCATGCCACTGGAAGTATTGTCCAAAATAAACAGGGATTGCAGATGACTGTTCCCTAGGTCCATTTTCATTTCTTTCTTCCCTCTTTCTTGGGGGGACAGTTTTTTCCAATGCTGTCTTGCATAGTATAGAGTTTGTCTGTGTTCTCCTCCTCTTTCTCTTCCTCCCTACTCCCCATTTTTCTTTCATGGGGAATAATATCTGGACTTAGCACAAAGCTGCTGGCCAAAGCAGAACTTCGTGCGGGGAAGATTAGTTTTGGGCAGCATTCACCAGCACAGTGGAAAGCAGCACACTCGGGAGATGATTCAAACCAAACATGAAAGGGAGCTTAATTCCACAGATCCTAGCAGTCCTCACATATGGTGCCTGTTAGCACAAGTAACAGCTACTCACTTGAGCAAAAGGTGCTACACAGGAGAGATTTGCCGTTACAGTAAGGACATTTTTAAAAATTGAGATTGGATCATCACGCCCTGCATGTTGTAAATTTCCACAATGAACTGGACGGAGTAAAGTCACAGGACTCAAACTTCGCCATCTGGGGAAGCAAGGTCTGGAATTTTGGTTTGAAACTATTGCTAGCAAGCTGGAGTTCCAAGTGTTTCAAGACAAATATGTTTTCCTCCAAGAAAGAAAATAAATTTCATCTGCAAAGCTTACCCCTCTCAAAGACATATTAAAAGCTCCCTCAGATACGTAGATTTGCCACAGAATCAACAAAACTTACCATTTCCTCTGGACAGTCCTCATTAACCAGGGCTCTGCTACACAGCAGTACTCAGGACTATAAAACCATCCTTGTCCTGTATGTTACGTGCACTTACGGTGACAAAGGACCACAGCCCTCCTGCTCAGCCACCGTTCAGCATTCTATGTTACCGCATGGAGGGCTGCAGTGCATACTCACAAACCAGTCCATTACACTTTTAATGGCACCAGTTGTTGAAACACAGTTCATTTGCTCGCTTGTAACTGCAATGAAATGCCAGAATGTATTCTGAATGGAATAAGGAGCTCATTATGGATGTAATCTTGCCCTTCCCTTCAGCTGCCTTCCTGGCTTTGGAAAGGAGTGTTCTGAAGTTCAAGGCTGCACAAAAATGAAGGAAGGAAGATAAATTCCTAAGGCCCCAGAAGTTTTCTATTAAAATTGCTTTAAGACATCCCACGTGGTTCTAATAGATACAGCCCTGCTCAGCGGTGCCCAGCATCAATCGCACCACATGAAAGCAAAGCACATATCCCATAACTGGCCAGAATGCAGCTGCGAGGATCAAAATGCTGATAATGTGAAAAGACAACACCAAATGAGTTTATCTTTTCCTATTTTCCCTTCTTCCTTTCCCCTTTAATCATCCACCCTACCTATTCACTTGTTAAAACAAAGTTACTTGGATGATGCAAAACAATTGCTGGCCTCACCCGAAGTCCAGCATCTGGGGCTGAGACACGGGATGGTTTAGAGGATTAGATAAATGAGACAGAAAGTCCTTTGGGGCTCCTCTTTCAAGAGCTGCACAGCACGTATTGCTTTCTTCACAAAGGTCTCAGGCGAGGAGCAATACTACATGCTGAGAACTCCTATTCAAAGCGCAATTCATAACGCTTTCCCTCCACAGACTTCTTAGCAAGAGAATGCAAGAACTACCACCCTCATTCAGAAAACCAAGGCACAGCGGAGAAACGTCTTGCCCACGGTCACAGAGTGGCTAGGTGGGAGAGCAAGTCTCTACTCCTAGACCCGTTCTTCAGCAGCTCTGCTCCTTCTCAACACTGGGATTGTAGCTAATGCAGGCACAGCACAGACTGTCATAAACACACATGGAGGGCACATCACCTTCAAACTGCTGCAGTTAGCGATCTCAGGCTAGAGAGTCTGACTGATAATGAGAAACAAATAATGAAAAGGGTGGTTATTAATACACAGCTATAGTCTGACCTGCAGCAAACATGACCTGGGCAATAGCATGACACCGATTAATTAAAGACTAATGTCTTTCATGTCTTTCCCTCCTGGAAAGAGGGACAGCAGGCTAGTCCTACCACTACCTTGGAGGTGTGCGCTTAAACCCTGCAGGTGGTGACATCAAAATGGCGAATATGCTCACATACATCGATGATGAGAGCCAAGAAAGAATCCTAACTGGACACAACAAAATATATATGGTTTAACCTCTATCTCTAGCCAGTAAAAACCCAGCCCATAAAAAGCACCAGAGAATAATCCCTCTGCAAATAATGCCCACGTGAAAATATTTCTGTGGCTACCACAATGATGCGACTGGAAAGAAGTCAAGTGATGCCTGTCTGGATACCACAATCATATTCAGCACAAGGTGTGTAAACTTTAACTTCTCCAACAATCTTTCATCTTCTCAATAAGCACAAGCTTCATTTCAAACTATGTAATATTTCTATGGCAAGAGAGAAAAAAATAATGCAACTTCCTTTTGATTCCTGCCCTGCCCAGGAACATGGGATTCACTAGCACTGTTCAGATAAATGCAGCTCGGCAGCAGTCTGTAATTAAACTAGCATTTGGTTCCACAAACACCCAGATGTGTTGAGTGTTCACCCTATGAGAGCTCACTAGCATTCACCCTATTCACCAGCCTTCCACTTGCTGAAGTAACACTGAATCTCTTGCACTCTTATTACACGCTCACTCCAAGCCCAAACGGCACACGCAGCTGAATGCCATTCTCACATTCTAGGAAAGGGAGCAACACAGAAACAACAGTGACTGATCACAGAATCAGACCTTTTTTGCAGCACATTCGAAGGATTCCAGAAGAATGGGAACTTACTTTTTTTTTTTTTTTCCTTTGGAGCAACGAATATCCTACTGTGTGCTGTTCTGTGTCTGAATACATCTACCAGAGGCATGCTCTCCTGGGATTAAGCAGTGTCTCATTTCTAGATCTAGTTAGGACTTAGACATGAACTAGAAGCAGAGCAGTTCAGACTGTTCAGGACTGAGGCAGTTCTAGGAGTGTGTGAAAGCAAAACATCAAGTGCTAGAGAAGCTTACATGCTTAAGTACCTTCAAGTGGGCCAGCAACTGAGCAAGGGCTCTGAAAATAATAGTTCTGGAGTTGCATGCCTCAGTTTCAAGGAAGTCCCATTGAAGGGTTAAGGTATTTTTCAGGATCAGGACCTTAATCTCTCTTACTTTAGCCTGACCCATTTTCTCACTTGTATGCTGACATCATTCCCAAGGCTCATTCCTTTGACGCTCAGAAGAGAAGATATTTGTATAATGCTAAATATTGTAATATTCAGAACAATCAGTGTAAGAAAAATATTTATCCTTGATAATTACTGCAGTTCAACAATGTAACCTTAGAAATTTCACTTCAACGACAAAATAATCAGCAAGGACCTACCTCCATATAATTCTGGACTCCAATCACTGACTGATCAGTTGAAGTCTCCATGACCCCACTGCAGAGAAAAGCAATAATTATTACAATAGTTATTGACAAGTGTCAAGACCCTCCCTGTTCTGCCCAAGGGCTGGACGCACCGCCCACGCGCATCCAGAAGTTAATAGGGAGTAGTCTTTATCAAACTGCTTGCTACTGACTGACACAACTTGCAGGGACCAAACACTTTGAGGAATGGACAGGAAAATAAATCCAGTGGGTAGCGTGCAAGAAAGGAGCCTGGAAACATAAAACATCCTCCCAGTGCTACTCCCTGTACTGGCCCTTCAAAGGGAGGTTGATGTGTTGGGAAGATGAGGCAGACAAATTGCACAAGAGAACTTTGCAAGTTAAACTCTTTCAGGGCAAGGAGTTGGATGCCAGTTGTAGGCCCCCTTCTTGCAGGCCCTGAGGATGTGGCAGTGGGGCTTACGGGCTGTGCAGAGGCACAGCTTGTGATAAGCTTCCTTCTCTATTCCAGAAGTCACGGCCATTCACAAAAGGTGCTGCAGTGCAGAGGTATGTCCTGATGCCAAATCTGACCTGTCTGTAACCACCCTGGGTAATTTAGGCCATTATCCGCAGTCAAACCATACAACAAAAGCTACGTGTTTTGGGGCATGTGATGGTATTACTCAGCACAGCCCTGGTGCAGCGAGACACCATTGCACCAACGGGGGCAGCACAAGTTCTCCCCCACTCTCTCTTTTGTGTAAACAAGCATAACAAGGTATGCGGCGTGACTGAGGTCTGAGGAGACCCGCTCTCAGCTCTCCTCCTGCAGGACTGGGAGCCCATGGACCACTTCATGGGCACCTCAAGCACTGCAGGCATCCAATCCATCCAGCACCAGCTACACAACTGGGCCTCCAAAGAAACACCACTACTGCACAAAAATTAATTACTTTCACTCCCACCAGCCTCAAAACACACATTTGCCTTTTCTGCACTGTGATGTTTTCTTTTTGCCCACTTTCTTCATTTCTAATCCAAGCCATCCTCTTTCTAATGTTTCTATGCAGCTGTAGAAGACACAAGTCCAATTCCCTGTCCAAGCTCGCTCACTTGGCAGTAGGGATTTATCACTCACCACAAACACTGCGGACCGTCTTCTCCCTCAAACCCCTCTCTGCAGCTTTCCTAGCACCCGTGGCCACCCCCCGGACTTCAACGAGCGCTGCACACCACGGATTTCAGAGCCGTCGTTTTACTTCCACCAGGCAGGGCTGACAACGCAACTAACGCACCTACCTATACTTACTACCAAAGTACTGAAAGAAAACTAAGTATCGGGTTTTGGGCGAAGCCATCCTTGCCGCCGGCGGCGCTGACGCAGACGCTCGGGC